AGGGCTACAGGAAAATGGGTAAGACTATTATTTCCATATGTTTTTTCTGTATCTGGGGTAAATGGGGAGGGAGATAAAGGGAAAAGCCCCACCCAGCCTCCCACCATCCCAGGTCACCGATGTGGGGCATGCTCTGAGGGTCTTGCTCAAGCAGTTTTGACAGTTCAACAGTTCTGAATTGCTGCCAATCTTGCCATTCCAAACACAATGAAGTCACTGCAGAATCCACTGATTGACATAGTCCATCTTAGAGTCTCTGTTTGCCCAGTTTTTCACTGCCAACATATGGCTGGGGTAGTTGATTGATTAGTTCTGTCCTCTGTTGTGGTGCCAGATATCCCCTGCAGGTTCCAATAGACCACCATATCCTCCATGTGCACCTGGTTATGCTCTCCGCTGCTCCGTCTGAGCCTCTGTTCTGAGTCTAAGTCCGGCAGTTCAGTTGGGGAGATCCCCAAAGAAACTTTGTCTGAGGTGATCCCAGACCAGATTCTTGTATGTACTTGCAGGTACAGGGCCCAGCACAGCTCCATCGTCCCAATCAGCTGGTGGTTGCAATTGCTGCATCAGTTCTGTTTCCAGCCCTGGCTTCCACACAAACCAATGGGTATTGCAGTCCAGCCTGATTCTGTCCAGCATTCACTCGGCCCTCACATAAACCAGTGGGGCTGCAGCCTAGTCGGAGCAATCCACAATAACCCTCACCAGGCCTGCCCCCTACCCTGGTTCCTGTGCTTGACAGTATGTACAGCAGACTAGTCCAGTCTGTCCCACATCCCATTCAGCTCTCATACATGTCAATGGATGTTGAAGTTTAGTGCAACCCAACCTGCCCTATTATCCAGCCCTGGCGTGTACCCTATCCCAGCTGTAATTCACATTGGTATGTGTTGCAACCATACTTGGCCCGACCCTCACTATTCTGATGCTCAAATTTGCCAGCAGCTGATGTGAACTGGTTCAGCCTGGTCTGCCCCCAACCCCTGCCGAATGTATGCCAGTGGGTACCTTTCCCTGGCCTGGTCTGGGATGCTCCCTATCATGGTTCTTGCACTAACATGCAGGGACTGTGTCTTGCCAGAGGAGTTGCCTAGGCTCCTCCATCAGAACCTCTCCCAGTGCCGGATTTCATGCATACTGGTGGGTCCATGGGACAGCCCTACTTAGTCCACCTCCTGTCCTGGAAGAAACAGTGGCCTTTCCTGACCGACCTTCAACCCATTCCAGTTCCTACTGTTGGATGTTTCAGCCCAGCCGAGGCTCATCCAGACCCAAACACAGCTCACACATGGCTCAGTAGGGGCAGAATTCCAGCCCAGTCCATCCTACATCTACCGTGGTCCTCCAGAGCACCAGATGGTGCTAGAGTCTAGCCCGCTTGGTGCATCCACTCCCAGTCCACACGTGCCAAGGGAGACTGCAGTCATATACATCAGAACACAGCCCCTCCCCACTCCAGCCCCTGCGCTCCTCAGTGACAATCCCAACCCTGCTAGGGTGTCCCCTTAGCTCCCTCAACCAGGCCTGTTCCCAGCCAAAGATTGTGTGCATGCCAGTGGTTGCTCTGACCCAGGTTGGCATAGCCCCTCACATGTCTTGGCCTTTGCCTTAGATGCTGTGTCCTAGCATCCCTGGCTCATGCAGGCCAGTAGGTGCAAGAGCCTAGCTCGGCATGACTTGTGCTCCATCCTGATTTCTACTTTTGCTTGTGAGCTAAGGTTTGCTCAGCCCTGCTCGGTCCACCCTGTTCTATACCAACCCACACATTAGCCAGCCATTGGAGCTACTTTGCCCAGCTTATCCGACCGCCAGGCCTTGGACCATGTGTTCACCAGTGGGAACTATGACCCACCAGGGGAATTTCCCAAGTTCCTCCACTTGACCCACTCCCAGACTCAGCTCACACGTTAGTGGGTGTTAGGCCAGTGTCTGACATGGTCTGGCCTTCCATTTGGCCCTGTATGAGCCGGTGAACATTTGAGCACCGGTTCTAATCCCAGCAGCGCCCGCTTCCCATCCAGCTCCCTGCTTGTGGCCTGGGAAAGCAGTCGAGGATGGCCCAAAGCTTTGGGACCCTGCATTCGCATGGGAGACCTGGAAGAGGTTCCTGGCTCTTGGTTTCATATCAGCCCAGCTCCAGCCATTGCAGCCACTTGTCGAGTGAATCAGCAGATGGAAGGTCTTCTTCTGTGTCTCTCCTCCTCTCTGTATATCTGACTTTCCAATCAAAATAAATCTTAAAAAAAAAATACCCTGAGACTATAAATGATGACAAAGTTGTCGAGGTGTGGAGTGTGCACAGCTCCTGGGAGGCCAGTGGCATCTATCCGAGCAGCTGGGCCAAGTAACAGTTCTACTTCTGATTCTAGATTCCTACCTGCGTGCACCCAGAAAGGCAGCAGGTGACGCTCCTAGTGCTTGGGTCTCACATTAGGAGACCTGGACTGAGCTCCCAGCATCTGCCTCAGCTAGACCGTTGTGGCATCAGCAAAATGACTGAACCAGAGCCCAAATAATTTTTTTCCAAGTATGCAGACTAATCTACAAAAGCTTGAGCTGAAGCCTGACAGTGTCCAAGGACTTTTAGAAAATAAAATGGGAGGCCTGGTAGCACTAGGCTTCCCTGCAGCTGGAGCACCATGAGCTCAGTCAGCACTGAGTATGATCTGACTGCCTCTACATTCTCTCCTGATAGTTTTTCAAGTAGAACATGCTATAAAGGCTGTGGAAAATAGTTGTACAGCTATTGGAATCATGTAAAGATGGTGGTGTCTTTGGAATAGAAAAATTAGTCATTTCTAAACTTCATGCAGGTGCAAAGAAACGACTTTTCAACGTTGATGGTTGAACTGGCAGTTGTTGGCGGATGCACTCTTTAGCAGACATTGCAAGAGAAGCACCCAACTTTAGATCTAACTTTGGCTGTAATATTCCACTGAAGCCATCTTGCAGAGTGGCCATGTCTGCACTCTACAGTGCTTAGACCTTCTGGCTGCAGTTCCATTTTAGGGCCTTACATAGTGCAACTGATGGAGCACAGCTGTGACTGACATGTCAGCTGTTTCATATAGTTATTAGGGTTGTGCCTTTGGCAAAGCCAGGCAAGGTGTAAAGAAAAAAACTTCAGAGGGGGAAAAAAACAACCTACCATGGTGTTGAGAAAGTTGCCAAAATAATTTACACAGATAAAACATAAAGCTTTCAAATTAGAGCTCAGTTGGGGTGAATTAACAAGGAGACATGAAGTTGCTCCAAAATATGTAAGAAAATATGCTAAGGAATCTTTGAGGAAGATGAATCTAACGATTACAGTATGTAACATTGACTTCAACTATTTTAAGTTCGTACTGGTCCCATGTGATATTTAGCCTATGGAGTATACATAACCCACTGACCAACTTTCACTAAATTCTTGGCAAAAAAAAAAAAAAAAAAACACAACTAGCTAGCCCCACTAAGGTGCCCAGTGGCTAAATCATCATCTTGCATGTGCCAAGATCCTATGTGAGCACCAGTTCACATCCTCGCTGATGCTCCCAGCCAGCTCCCTATCTGTGGCCTGGAAAAACAGACAGCCCAAAGCCTTGGGACCCTGCGCCCACATGGGAGACCCGGAAGCTCCTGGCTTTGGACTGGCTCTCAGCTGCAGCCATTGTGGCCACTTGGGGAGTTAGCTAGCAGATGCAATATCTGTCTCTGCCAGTCTGCCTTTCCAATTAAAAAAAAATCTTTAAAAAATTAAGCTAGGATACTACATGGCTAACTAACTTACAGCCCAAAGCAATGGAAGTTGAATTGTGAAGCTGTAATCAATGGGATGATCAAAAGTTAGTAACATATTGGAAGTGGTCCTTACAAAGCAGAAGCCAATAAATAAAGCTTCAGATCTTGTCAGCATCACACCCTTCGACATGAGTTAGATGTTACCCAGGACCCTTAGTCTACTGCTACACATGGCTCTCTTGCATACATTTTATCAGAACATGCAGAAATGCTGTTTATTCTACCTGGCTATCACCCCCCAGAAAACCCATCGTCCTCAATTAAACACATAATGTTCTTGCGTGAAGTAACTGAACTCCTACTGAATTTAAAGTGGGAATTTCCCCTCCCAGTACCTCCGCAAAGCAGAATTCACAAGCCATCTGCGATCCAAGCAAACAGAACATAAATAATCTTCACACCCAAAAGGCCGAACAATTTTTATTTTCAAAACAACTTTATTCATGACACATATTAAAAAAAATTCCCACCCCCTGGAAAGGAGCTAAAAAAATAAAACAAAATCCACCTCCCACCTCCCTGTTCCCACTTCCTCCCATTCCCTCCAAATAAAAGGGAAAAAAAAAGGCAAAAGATTAAAAACAAAACAAAACAAAAAACATAACAAAACAAAAATACCCCCAAGCCCCCCAAAACAAGGTAGTGCATTTCCCCCAGGGGAAAGGGGGAATTTACACTGGAGCCGCTGGGAGCGGAACGGAGAATCTTCCGGCTACAGAAACCTGCAAAGAAAGACACTCAACAGAAAAAGAAACACAAAAGGAAACAAAACAGATCACCAGGCAATCTGCAGGGGCAGGGAGCTGGAGAGAGGGCAGGGTGGGCGGGTGGCAGAGCTGGCAGGACAGGAGCAGGCGGGCGGGGCAGGGAGAAGACGGAGGGAAGGTGACAAGCAGAACAGTGTGGTTTCCTTCCAGAGCCCTGGGTGAAAAAAACCCTCCTGCCACCCAGGCCACCTACCCTTGAGCAGCCCCCAAGGGGGTGGAGGGGAGCAGGGGAACGCGGGGAGCAGCTTGCGCAGTTGACACGTGTCCATGGCGAATCCCCAGAGGGAGCGAGCAGCCCCCTGCCCCACTCCCTGGGCCTCCCCTACTCCCCAGAGCAGGCCCCTCCTCAGCAGTTAGTTATGGGATTTTCCCCCCTTCCACAGTATATCTTTTTTTTTTTATATTTTTTTTCCATCAAGGTCATCTTCTGTTTTTCTTTTTTTTTTTTAATTCTTTTTTTTTCCTTCTTTCCTCTTTTTTTCCTCTCTCTCCTCCTAATACACACTTTTTTTTTAGTAAGGGGAATACCATGATGTCGCTCTAGCCCGGCCCCTGGAAGAAAGAAGGAGAGTCAGGTGTTAACACGACCACTAGCCAGTTCAGTACAAGTCCCTCCCCATGGGCCCTTGCCCCAGCTGCTGAGAAGGGAAGTGGGAAAGCAGCTTGAGTTCCCTAAAACTAACCCCACAACCCTCCGACACACACCTGGAGAGTGGGGGTGGGGCAGGAGTGGGGCTGGAGTTGAGTACTTGGCCAACAGGGGCAACACAGAAGTGCCTCCGAGGTAGAGGAGCAAGGAAAAGGCCTGGCTGCTCATCCAGTTTCCTGTTCTCCAACAGTTCTCAAACCCTAGCCCTGACCCATACATACAGATACAAATAAAACAAAGCAACCCGGGTGCCATGCTAGGCCCTGTGAGAAAGTTAACCCGGCAAAAAGAGCAGCTCAATTACAGAGTAAATATGGTAAAAGCCTCCCCCGTGGCCACCAGCCACCAGCCAGCCTACAGGGAAATCAGGGCCTCTGGTGTTTGTCCAAAGAAGGGCCAAGCTTGGCTCCCTCCCTAATTCCGGGAAAAGTAGCAACCTCCTTCACAGGGCTGCTACTGCCCTGGGGTCATGCTCTTCTGTATAAACACTTGCACTACCACCAAGGGGCAAGAGGGAGGGGGAAAAAAAAACAAAACAAGGAACAAAAGGCTGGAGGAGGAAGCATCTCTGGGAACAATGTGGAGAGACCCAGGCCTTATCAGTCAACTCCTGCTCCAGAAAAGATGACACTCGCCTCCTGGCCTGGCCTGCAACTACTTTCCTCACCCTGTGCAGGCAGGAGACCAAGGGGGAGGGGAGGAGTAGGCTCCTCAGATGGGGGAGAAGAGCGCAGGGCTGGTGGGAGGCGGGGGGCAGAGGAGCAGCCCATCTATCCTGACCTGTAGATGCGACCCCGGGGCCTGCTGTTAAAACCACTGTAGAATCTAGAGCGGGAGCTGTTGTAGTTGGTGGTCCTGGCACGGTAGCGGGCCCGCGGGAAGCCCCGGTCTGTGGTGCTGATGCCTGGTCTGTTGGTTCGTTTGGGGATCACCTGCGAGTTCAGGCGGGCAGAACAGAGAGCCTCAGAGTCACTGCGATGCTTTGCCCAGAGCCAGGGAAGCAAGGGCACAGCGCTCACCTTGATTTGTCTTCCTCTAAACAAGGACTCGTCTAAGGCCAGAGAAGTCCTCACAGACTCTTTGTCTGAGAACTCTATATACGCAAACCTGAGAAGAGAACCGCAAACCTGAGAAGAGAACCGTCGGTTTACCTCTCCTGGTTGCAACCGCTGCCAGGTCAAACCCATCCTTCAGGCATGCTTTGTTCGGGCACACTGTACTTCCATTTTACTTACTGGTTAATTTTTCTTAACTGGAAGACTTTCGTAAAATTTCTCACTCTTGGGGAAACAGGTCAAGCAAGGCCTGCATTTCCACACTAGGGCCAAGAAACTGCTCCTCCTCTTAGTTTTTGAGCTGCTACCCACACCTGGCCTTCACTTCCCCCCAGCTGGTACGTACGGCCTGCATTCCCCAGCATTCAGGCTGCCACTCAGGAAACAAAGAGCATCTGCTTCCAGGTAGGTACTGTGTCCAAGTGGGTTAAGCACCACTGGGACGCCAGCATCCCCTATCAGATTGACAGCTCTTGTCTGATTTTTAAGCCACAGACCATATTTAGAAAACAGTAAGTCAAGCTCTATATTGAAGAGTGAATTTCCTGCCATTCAAACAGGTACCCTGCTTCCCGTCAAGATTCATTTATTTGAAAGGCAGTGCTTCCATCTGCTGCTTCACTCTCCAAACAGCCATAGTGGCCAGGGCCGAGTCAGGCCAAACCGAGGACTTGAGACTCTTTCCACCAACTTCCCAGGCACATGGGCAGGAAGCTGGAGCAAAGTGGGGCAGCCAGGAGTGAAATGGATGCTTGCGTCCCAGGCTGAGGCTCACGCGAAGGCCACACCCCCAACCCTTTCATTTCTCACCTGTGGCGATCTCATCTTCTCCCTACTCACCCTTTAGGATGGCCACTGAACTTGTCACAGAGTATGGTCACGCGGTTGACTGAACCGCAGCCATGAAAGTGAGCTTCCAGCTCTTCTGCTGTTGCACCATAGTCCACCTGAGGAAAGGGGGCACACTTCACAGGTGCTGGGAAAACACCTGCCTCCACAGGCCCCCTGCCTCATAGGGATCCGGATCACCCACACACCCTAAGGTATACAAAATCTGGTCAAGAAATTAACGGTTTCTTTTCAAGCCTACAGCCTTTGCTGAAGGCTCCATTCATGAGCTACCTCACCCTCCCTAATCTCCTTTCACACCCCCACACCATCCCCTACCACACAGGCGTTCCTTTCCAGACCAAATACCACCCTCAGACAGGAACCATCCCCCAAGCAATCAGGGTCCCACTACATACATTGCCAACATAGATGGATCTGGCGTCAGCTTCCATCCTCTCCTCAATAGACATGATCACCGGGCCAGCTGTTACGGAAAAGTGAAAAAGCCTAAAAAATGAATCCTTAACGGACTCCACCCCCACCACCTTCGCCTATCAGCCAAAGGCAAGGGTTTGGGCCTGCTCTGTTTCCTGCTGTATCCATCAAGTACACATTAGATGCTCACTAAAAATCTGATCAATTCAGAAACAGAGCCTTAATCCAGGCGTCTCCCTACCCCACTCAGTCTCTACTGAATGAATAGCTTCTTCCATGGAAGTGCCTTGCACGGCAAACAAATCAACCGGGCAGGTAAGGGAGGCTGGACTTTTCTATTTAGAAGCCCAAGATCCCTCGCCGCCGAGCAGTTTCTCTCGGCAGGGCTAACTGCAAAGCTAGAGCTGAAGGTCAAACGGCCGGCTGGAAACCTCAAGAAAGGTAGAAGCAGGCTATGAACAAAGAACAGCACATTCACGACTGGGACAAAGGGAGACAGAAGACCACCACCGACACACAGCGCTTCCCTCCTACCCACAAAAGTCAAGGAAACACAATGGCCTCGGACCGCCAACCCCCGCCCAGGACCGGCTCGAACGAGTCGCTTCCCAGGGTTTCTGCCAGTCCCCATCTCCGTGCTTCCCACTCAGGGACCCCGGGCCGCACGTGGGATCGCCAGCGGACTCACCATTGCCTGGAGGCGGACTCATATTCATCTGCTTCTCGACTTCGTTCTGCAGCTCCTTCAGCTTCTCGGCTTCCTCCTCCATCTCCCTGACTCGGGCCTTGATCGCTTCCAGCTCCTACCACGGGCGGGGAAGGTGTGCACAAGACCTTGAGAGGAACCACCGCAGGCGCCGTGCCTGCTTCTCGCTCGCCCGCCCGGCGCTGCGGCGCGTGGTCCCGGCCATTTCCTTCGTCTCACGCAAGGATCGCGGTGAAGAAAACCCAACTACCTTCGCTAGCAGACTAGGCACGCATGACTCGGCCGGAATCGCCCCGGCCCGGTCCTCGGAGACGATCGAGGCCGCGTCCCCCGGCCAGCCCCGGCCACGTTACTCCCCGCCCAACCCCACCCCCACCCGCTGCCTGCCTCCCGCTCGCCGGAGCGCCGGGCCTTCCTTGACCCGGGGCCCGCCGGCCTGCTCGCCTTCGCTCTCCTTCCCTCACCGGGTCCTCAATGGCGCTGTCCCCCGGGTCACCCTCGACCAGTCCCGGCTCCTCCTCCTCCTCCTGGCTGCCGGGGGCTCCCGAGCCAGGTCCAGGGCCCGGAGTTCCCGGGGGTGCGCGGGGCCGGGGTGGCTCCTCTTCAGGCTCGGGTTCTGGCAGCAGCTCCCCAGGCTCCAGTTCCTCAGACTCCAGGCCGTTCCCGTAGTCCCCTGCGCCCCCCGGGGCCCCCTCCCCGGCCTCCCCACCGGCCCCGGGCACAAGATGGCGCCGCCGCCCCGGCCCGGAGCCCCGACCGCCCGCAGCCCCCGCTGCTGCTGCCGCCGCCGCCGCCGCCGCCATCGCCGCTCAGACTGGGGCCCGCCGCCCGGCGATTGGAGAGCTGCGCCGGCCACGCCGAGGATTCATTAGTCAAGTATCCTGCCCGTCATCACGGGCTAGGGCCCCATTGGAGAAGATGATTTGACAATCAAATAAGACCCCACCTCTAAGGCGGGACCTTGCGCCAAACCTTCAAATCGTGGCAGGCAAAATGTCTGTCAATCAACATATGTCCCACCTCCTCTGGAGTGCTAGGTAACAATACTATTAGGCTGTGACGACATTCCTGCTTCTCCCCCGCCTATGGGCGGGATCACGAATACGGGACGCTCCCTGATTGGCCCTTGGGAAGAACCAATCGTTTCGTCGCCTTACCGCATTGGCCCACTCTCAAATACCAGTTGGCTCGCGAGATTCGAAAGGCAGACACCCGTTCCGTGACAGATGAACTTTGCCCTCAACATACGGCTGGGCTTCCAGCTAGGGAAACCCGAGGTCACATGACGCGTGCCCTAAGGGGGCCGCCATCTTGATAGTACTGGCCCTCTGGGGAGCTGTGAGAGGGGCTCTACACTGTGGCCACTTCTGGAAACCGATGCCTCGACCAGAAACACACGAGGAAGGATCTTACTGCGGGAATGGAAGTTATTTGCTAACAACACTCCCCCAAGATATGCTGAACCAGAAACTAGGGAAGACATCTGACTCCTCAGCTACCAGTCGCATATGGCTTGCATTCCTGCTTGACCTGTTTCTTCCCTTGCCTCAACTGTCAGGCCCCTAACGGCTCCCTTGACGTCCAGGTTTACTCCTCTAATCTGCTCCGCCATCAGAGTCGCTTACCTTTGCTGGCCCAGGCAGTTTTAAAACTTCAATGTGGTGCCCAGTGCGGTAGCCTAGCGGTTAAAGTCCTCGCCTTGCTTGCGCCAGGATCCCGTCTGGGCGGTGGTTCTAATCCCGGCAGCCAGGCTTCCCATCCAGCTTCCTGTTTGAGGCCTGGGAAAGCAGTGGAGGACGGCCCAAAGCCTGCACCTTCCTGGAAGACCCGGAAGAGGCTCCTGGCTTCGGATTGGCTTAGCTCTGGCCGCTTGGGGAATGAGTCAATGGAGTGAAGATCTTCCTATCTCTCCTCCTGTCTGTGTATCTGGCTTTCCAATAAATCTTAAAAAGCTTCAATGTGGGGCCCGGCGCAGTGGCCTAGCGCCTAAAGTCCGCGCCTTGAACGCCCCGGGATCCCATATGGGCACCGGTTCTAATCCCAACAGCTCCACTTCCCATCCAGCTCCCTCCCTGCTTGTGCTCTGGGAAAGCAGTCAAGGACAGCCCAAAGCTTTGGGACCCTGCACCCATGTGGGATACCAGGAAGAAGTTCCTAGAGCCTGGCTCTGGTTCGGCATAGTATCGGCCGTTGTGCTCACTTGGGGAGTGAATCATCGGATGGAAGATCTTCCTCTCTGTCTCTCCTCTATGTATATCTGACTTTCCAATAAATAAATAAATCTTAAAAAAAAAAAAAGCTTCAGTGTGGCCCAAGGCACCCCAGACCCTATTTTGTGAATGCTGTTCTCACACTCATGCCAGCGTGCGTGCCTCCATCTAGTCTGCCCGTGGACATGCAGTCCCCCTTCCACCACACTGCCAACCAGAATCAGCTGCCAAGCCTTCCTTTCCGGGTGAAGACAAACAGAGGACATTTCAGTGTGAGCTGAAGGGTCTTGTTTCTAGCTACCTTGTGAAAGTCTGCTTGCTAGGAGGCGCTGGACCCTGTTTATACTCGCGTTTCCACCTTATGGTAGTACGCCTGGCATAGTGTCATGTTGCCACTTTCCATCCCCCAAATTCTCCATCTACCCAAAAGAAATTCTCTCTAGGTTCCCACCATACCCAGCTGCCCCGGGATACACAAATGGCCTAGTCCTGGAAGGCGGGGTTGGAACATTTTAGTGAGGAGCCTACACTTACCAAAGGAGTGGCAGTACTAAACTAGCAAGAGATTTCTGAGCCAAAGCCAACCACGTTTGAAAGCCAGATTTAAATGAGCCAAACCAACAAATTCACACAGTTAAAAACAAAATGAAAAATAAAAAATGTTAAAAGCAATAATAAATTCACGCAATTGAGGCAAGGAGATCTGAATAAGAGATCCTATTACCAAGCCCACTTCTTCCCATCACCCACACTTTTTCTAACATTTCCTTACCTTAGATACTGGGGAACTTGGAGCAGAGTCATAGTTGATGAAGTTTTTTCCAGTAGATTCATCAGCTGGGAGAACTAAACTTGAGTACTGAAAGTAAGCACTAAATAATTTAGATCTGTGGTGTGGTGTGGTGTGGTATGGCTTAACTGCCTCTTGAAATGCCAACATCCCATGTATATGATGGTTTGAATCCCACTTCCAATCCAGCTCCCTACTGATGTGCCTGGGGAAGCAGCAGCAGATGGCCCAAGTGCTTGGACAGCTGAACCCAAGTGGGAGAACCAGTTGGGAGTTTCTGGATCCTGGCTTCAGCCCTGCCCAGCCCTGGCTCTTCTGGCCACTGGGAGATGAACCAGCAGATGCACCCTCTCTATCTTTGTCTCTCTGAAACTCTGCCTTGCAAGTAAATAAAGTAAAAATAAATAAATAGAGTGTGTGATTCAGATCCCTTGTATATGGATCTTAACCAATATTTGAATGTTTTGTTGGTGTCTAAATCCATCAAAGCAACTAAAGAAACTGTGATTTTTAAAAATGTCTTTGAGGGGAGGGCATGGGGAAGGGTTGGGGGAATCCCAGAGCCTATGAAACTGTGTCATAAAATGTAATGAAATCTAAAAAAAAAGAGTTTTTGAATCCAGCTTTGGGTGAGCACTCGATTTTGTAACAGGCACCATTCATAATCTCTCACTGGATTCTCCCAATACTTTTATGAGGTAAGTATTTCTAAAACCAAAACCTTTTTTTTTTTAGGGGAGATAAAGAAGAATTTAATGATGTAATGTGCCCAAACCATCAAGCTAATTAAAAGTATACAGGGAATCAAAGGCAGCTATTAGATCAAAACTGAGGTCTACTTTCACACATCAAAATTGCACAAAGTATGTAGGTATGATATGACAAGTGAAGAAAAAATTTTTTATCATACTGTAACTATATCCAAGGATTGTGAACTATTCAAAAGTTTATAGTAACCACACAGAAAATAACCTAGGCCAAAGAAATACAATGTAAAGTTGCATAAGCATTAGAACAACTATGTGTATATGATTTCTAAAAAAGAAATTCTGGGCTAAATGGGAAAAAAAAGCAACAAAAATCAGTACAATCTATTTTTGGGGGTGGGGGCAATATTTACCAAAAACTTTCAAAGTGTTGATTACTGAGATCAAATCTGGTTTTTTTTTTTTTTTCAAAAAAAGTCTTATTTTCATTGGAAAGACAGATCTACAGAGAGGAGAAAGGTCTTCCATCTGCTGGCTCGCTCCCCATATGGCCACAACAGCCAGAGCTGAGCTGATCCGAAGCCAGGAGCCAGGAACATCTTTGAGGTCTGTCACGTGGGTGCAGGGTCCCAAGGCTTTAGGCCGTCCTCGACTGCTTTCCCAGGCCACAGGCAGGGAGCTGGATGGGAAGTGGAGCAGCTGGGACACAAACCAGCAACCAAACAGGATGCAAATGCTTGGAGGTGGAGAATTAGCCAATTGAGCCATTGCAAGGCCCTGATCCTATTTCTTATAACTATTTTAAACAGGCGATAGAGGAGCTGGCATTGTGGCACAAAAAGTCAAGTGACCAAGTGCCACAGTTTTTGTCCTGGCTACTCTTTTCCAATCCAGCTTCCTGCCAATGAGCCTGGGAAGGCAGAAGATGGCCCAAGTGCTTGAGTCTCTGCCACCAGCGTGGGAAACCCAGATGGAATTTCTAACCTCTGACTTTAGTCTGTTTGTGGCCATTTGTTGAAAAACCAGCAGATGGAAGATTTCTCTCTCTCTGTCTCACCCTGCCTGTCGCTCTGCATTGTCTTTCAAATAAATATACATTTATTTAAAAATAAAGAAATAGGCCCCATCATAATAACCTAGTGGCTAAATCCTCACCTTGCATCTGCCTGGATCCCATACGGGGACTGGTTTGTATCCCAGCAGCCCCACTTCCCATCCAGCCCCCTATTTGTAGCCTGGGAAAGCAGCTGAGGATGGCCCAACGCCTTGGGACTCTGTACCTACATGGGAGACCTGGAAGAAGCTCCTGCCTCCTCGCTTCACATCGCATCAGCTCCGGCCACTGCAGCCACTTGGGGAAAGAACCAGCAGATGGAAGGTCTTTCTCTTTCTGTCCCTCCTTCTCTCTGTACACCTGCCTTTCCAATATGAATAAATAAATAAATAAATAAATCTATAAAAAATAAAATTAAAAAGTTGTCTAAAAAGTGAATACCCACTTGTGATTAGAGATTTTTGTGCAGGGGCTGGTGCTGAGCCCATCTTGCTGGCATCCCATATGGGCACTGGTTCTAGTCCCAGCTGCTCCAGGTCCAATCCAGCTCTCTGCTTATGGCCTGGGAAGGCAGCAGAGGATGGTCCAAGTCTTTGGATCCCTGTACTCATGTGGGAAGACTGGAAGAAGCTCTAGGCTTCAATAAAAGGTGAATATTTTATGTTTAAAATGAATTTGTAATTGGAAAAGCAGAGTTAGAAAGAAGAGAGACATAGATCTTAAATCTGCTGATTCACTCCTCAAATGGCCACACAGCCAGAGCAGAGCAAATCACAAGCCAGGAGTGTCTTCCAGGTCTCTCACACAGGTGCAGAATTCCCAGGCTTTGGGCTATCCTCTGCAGCTTTCCCAGGGCACGAGCAAAAGGATGCAAAGTGCAGCAGTCGGGACACCAGTCCTGCCCATATTGGATGCTGGCACTTGAAGTGGAGGATTAGCCTGTTTAGCCCCAGCTCTGGCCCAAAATATAAATCTTTAAATTTGTATATATATATATGTATATTTTACAATGAAGAAATGTGAACAACTTAAATGTACAACTGGACTTTAAAATA